TCTTTTAACTCCGAGGCCGACATACGATATGGAGCCATCGATATCGGACTAGTTCCAGGAATCAAATCTACCGAAAACTCCACTTCTCGCTCCGGCGGTAAATCCTTTATCTCTTCAGGGAATACTTCCGGGAAATCTCTAACAATGGGCAAAGCCTCAATCTCTTCACTCTCACTAGTCCTCAAAGTTGACATAAGCATAAATACCTTAGCTCCATCTTGCACCGATTCTTTCACTTGTTTCTTCGTCATAAACAAATCTCTTTCAACATCCGAATCGGGAAAAATAACCGTTTTGTCAAAACAGTTAATATACACACGATTGAATTTTAACCAATTCATTCCAAGAATGACATCAAGTTGATCCAAATGAAGACACACTAAATCAATCCCAAAATCTCTACCGAAAATACTCAACGGGCAATTCAAGCAAACATACGGTGTAGTTACTGAACCCATAGCAGGAGTATCAATAACCATACCGCCACCAATCACAGACAACTCAAGATTCAACCTTCTAACACAATCCAAAGAAATAAAAGAATGCGTAGCTCCGGTATCAATTATAGCGATCAAAGGTATACCATTAATAAAACACGTACCTCGGATCAATCGATCGTCGCTAGCAGTCTCAGATCCAGAAAGAGCGAACACTTTCCCGCTCCCTTGATTCTTCTTCGGCTTATCACATTTCGTACTAATGTGTCCTTGCTCACCACAGTTATAGCAAGTAACACCCGTACCGCTTCTGCACTCAAGCGCCTTGTGGCCTGGCTTGCCACACTTAAAACACCTCGGTTCAACACTTTTGCACTCCGGGGCACGATGCCCCGCTTCACCACAAGTGTAACACCTAACCGGGGTAGAAACTCCCCCACTTGGCTTCTTGCCAAAACCAACCTTTTGTTTCCCCTTATCAGCAGGAGTTACGTAAGGTTTTCCTCTGAATTGTCCCTTTCCTTTCTTGTCACTTAGACTCTTGTAGTGGCTGGACCTAGCCCTACTGTCTTCGTCATAAATTCTGCTCTTGTTAACCAACTCAGAAAACCGCCTGATTTCCTGGTATCCAATAGCTTGTCTAATCTCAGGTCTCAAACCGTTCACAAACTTGAGGCACTTAGACCTCTCAGCATTACCAGTATTATAGTGAGGACAATATTTGATCAACTCCTCAAATTTCGCCGCATACTCAGCAACCGTCGAATTACCTTGCTTCAACTCAAGAAATTCGATCTCTTTCTTCCCCCGCACATCCTCTGGAAAATACTTCTCCAGAAAAGTTTCTCTAAACAAATCCCACGTAATCACAATATCATCTTCCTCAAATCTTTGGCGAGTATTACCCCACCAATCTTCAGCTTCTTCTTCGAGCATATGAGTCCCAAACTGCACCTTCTGTGCATCCGAGCAATTCATAACTCGAAAAATCTTTTCCACAACTTTCAACCAAATTTGTGCCTTGTCCGGTTCATGAGTTCCCTTGAAGACCGGAGGGTTATTCTTTTGGAATTTCCCCAAAGCACGGAATCCATCATCAGCATGATTCCTCACATTCACATTGGCCGGAGGATTCTGCCCAATTGCCCCCGCCAATCTCGTCAATGCCTCCGCAATCGCTTCGTCGTTCCTCCCTGCAACCATCTTACTAATTCCAACAACAGAACTACGTAAGAACAACCAATATTGATAATGCATCACACGCATATCAATAACACATAGGGAAAACACTCTAACAACTTGGCCGGACGGACCGACCTGCTCTGATACCACTTTTGTAACACCCCCTTCTATACCCCAAATAATTGCATATAAAACACTTAAGCACATACAAGTTATCAGAGTAAAAAGGTTTTATAATCAGGTATAAAAGAAGAATGCCACAACTTCACCAATAAAACACTTTCACAATTTGCTCCATAAAATATGTAACATTTTCAATTTAAGCGGAAGATAAAATCATTTAATCAGTTCCAAATATTAATTCACGTACACATAAGCTATCCAATTTAATATATATCATATCAGTTAGATTACAAAACCACATCAGCTGATACACCGCAATGTATCACAAAAGAATGGCTATACTAGTCTAACTACCCGGTGTTACATATCAGAGCAGTAGACTCAAAGGAATGAAGACTATTCTTCACAAAAGGACTCCAGCATCCTAATCTGCAATGCCTCATAGAGCATTATAAAACAGCAGAAGGGTGAGAAATATAACCATAATAATCAAAGCATAAGATTATATATATATATAGGTAATCATATAACACATATTCACATTTCTCACCACACTTCATTCTCTTAGTCATATATATTACCACACATGTATATATACAAACATGGATATCCACAAGCCTTCCCACATTATGTATACACTTACAATTTCCACAATCTCATCATCCACACATAAGCATCACTTCATGCATATGTCATATATCAATGTGACTCAACAACTCAATGCAACTCATGCAATGCGGTACCGACTCTCGTTATCTTTTTTTTCGGTTTTTACATTAAACCGGGTCCACACTTCTAGACCGATAACCCGTTATCTTTTTTCGGTTTTTACATTAAACCGGGTCCACACTTCTAGACCGATAACCACAAAGGCCCGTCCTCTAAGCCTTCAAACCCACACTTCTAGGTTTGGGACAAGCCACTAGTTTCCACGAAACTAACAGACATTGCCTCTTGACTAAATGATGCATGTACAATCAACCACAACAAATGCACTTAAGACCGACATCTTAATCTCATGCATTTACATAATTCATCACTTCAAGAATTACACAATGATTGTACATACAACATATATCAAACATTTATCAACGTATTCATTTCACACATCATCATATTCAACAACAATGCACACATATCACATATGTTCCCATGCATTCACACCACAATCGCATACATATATGCACTCGCAATTCATTAGACGATACACATACAGTTCTCATTGTATTCCCATGTATCTCTAATTATCACAACAATCAAGGTATTCTCATTACAATACCAATCATACAATTATAAGTTATGCACACATATTCAAAATGTTCTCATGCATACTCATTACATAATTGCATACAACAATCAAACATCCACAACTCTAGGATTCACGCCCGAAGGCTACCCACAGCACATGTTATCGTAATAGTTCACATACTCATTCATAACATAGAAGTATAAACATATGCGAATCAACCAAACAATCACCATTTGGATAACACAGCAAAGAAAATATACTGCCACATTCGCCTTCATTCGCCTGGCGAACCCTCGCAGCGAACCTTCTCCTGGCCTTCGCCTGGCGAACTCTCTCAGCGAACACTCGCTAGGCTTCGCCTGGCGAGACTTCCCAGCGAGCCCAAGCCAGTAGCTACTGACTTCATTCGCCACCATTCGCCAGCACCTTCGCTGGGCGAACCTTCGCCATCCCACTTCGCCTGGCGAGCCCACCAGCGAAGTCTACTGGGACTTAAATATAATTATTCGCCAACATTCGCTAGGCTTCGCCTGGCGAAGCTTCGCCTTCGCTCGCCTGGCGAGAGCCAGCGAACCTGCGCAGAACAGAACCCTATTCTGTCTTCTCCTTCACCAATCCATCATCAACCTTCTCTTACACATCCAAATCAGTATAAACAGCATCAATACATGTTACCCGACTATTCTACGGCATTATTACTCATTTTCAACCGATTAAATCCTCAATCTACCGATTATCCAACGTTTTGCCCTAAATGGAAAGTGATGGAAACTCTACCAAAACCCTAACCCAACATACATAACATCATACAATGATCAAATAGAAACATTTCTCACCCTTACCTCGATTAATCGGAGCTTTGATGTTGGTTCTTGATGATTTCCACTTTTCCTCTTCTTCTCTTCTCTTTCTCTCCTTTCTTCTTCTTTCCTCTTTCTTTCCAAATGTTTTCTATCTTTCTTTTCTTTTCTTTCTCTCTTATATAATTCCTTTATTTTCCTTCCTTCCAATTTCCTTCTCAATTCTCTATTAATCCCAATTAATAAAAATTAATTTCCAACATTAATAAAATCCCACTAAATCAATTAATTACTATAATTAATTATTTAATGAAATTTGGGCTGTTACAATGGGCAACGATCACTTTTACCTTAAGTGAGGCGTCGCTGTTGACAAGTTCTCTGATGCTATGGCAAACCATTTCTGAACTGAGCTTCCTATGGTCTTGTGCCATCGACGTCGTAGTGCATGTGTGAGACCCAGACAGCTTACCGATCACCCATTTTGAGTTCCTTCGTCTAAATGAAGCTCTGCACTTGAACCTGCAGTCTTGTTTCTTACACTGAATGACATATCGTTCATTGTCGGACTGATACACCCAATAATCCACACAGTGTGTTATGTGCCAATGCTGCAGAGCGAGAACGCAGGCTTCCTTGTTTTCAAACTCCATACCGATCTCTATTTCATCACCTATATGGTTTTGAATAGCACTTCCAAACACGGAGGTTGTGTCGCCATCTTCAATATCAATATTTTGCATGTGTGTCGGCGGGTTATACAAACTTACGGGTTGTGCGCGGATCGGTTGCGTAGACGGGACAACTATATCTTCGTCTTCATTGTCTTCGTCACCGCTGTCACCAAAAATATCTTGCATCCTTATCTCCTCATAAATATCGTCATCACTTGATTCTCCAACCTCCTCATCTGGTATGAAAGGTAAATTGTTTTGGGTTGGTTCGTCGTCGGATGTTTGGCTCATCCCGTACCAGTGTGACTGGGTCTCCTGAGTTTGCAATGTTTCGGGATTGTGTTGTAGTTTGACATACACCTCAATTGTAGGTAACTGACCAAACATCATGTGGCACCGAAACATGGCCTTGACATCGTCGTCGTTTTTGATTGGCGTCATAATGTAAAAAATCGTACAATCGTCTTCATTAAGGGTGGGATGGCGATAAATGATTTCCTCAACGAAAATGAAAGAACCAAAAGAAGAAGATAAAATGAAAGGTTTTGTTAGGATAACTTGGCTTGAAAGTGAGTATGAAAATTTAAAAAACAAAGAAAACCCGACTCAAGAAGATGTTTTATTAGAAGCCAAATTATTTATTTTACTCGTGATCGCAACAATTTTGTTTCCTGACAAAACACAAAACCTTTTGCATTCTTCTTGGGTCCCTTTTGTGGGGGATCTCATTGAATGTGGAAAATATAGTTGGGGTTCTGCATGCCTTGCAAAATTGTACAGAGAAATGTGCAAGGCAGCAGAAAAAGAAGTTAGGAGCATGAGTGGTTGTGCTCTCCTACTAACTTCTTGGGCATTCACACGCATCCCATTGTTCGCTCCTGTCAGCACGGTGGAACCCTCGTATCCATATGCACAAAGGTATTCATGTAATATAATACTCATATTTATGTACGTAAAATATATATATTTCTTATTCAAATATGTCTAACATTATTTTGTTTTGTATTTTGCAAGATGGGCACAAAGAGGAATGAATTACCGTGCAACTCCTCGTTTCCATCTTCAAGGATATCGTAACGCGTTGGACCATATGCAAGAAAAAGATGTAAGTTTTAAACCAAGTGAAAATCGTGGTCGGTTCTTCAATTTAATGGCATCTTAATTTTCTTTGTTATATGACAGTTTATATGGAGGCCGTACATTCAGTACCCGGTCCCGCGTCTAGAAGATAGTCAAATCTGGAGTGCCACAACGTACCTTATTTGTTTTTACATCGTTGAGATGCATCAAACAGATAGGGTAACACTCCAGTTTGGAGTAGACCAACAAATCCCTCCCCTTCCTAAGTGTCTAAAGGATCAACACGCAATGACCATGTGAAAAGCGCAAAAGGTTCATTGGCAACAGTTAAATAAGGACGAGGTTCGAGAATGGAGACACAGAAGACATGTGATTTTGCAGGGGGACTCTGTATTATGTGAACGCAAGCCAAGTCAACAGTACTTAACTTGGTTCCGCGCAATTCCTTATGTCCATGTTGCTCCGGATCAATTTCTGACCGACCCTCGGACGCAACCATCATCATCGACACAACTAACAGCCACATCAATGCATCCGGATGCCCCACCAACCACCACCTCTCAATTTTGGGGGTACCCATCCTCGTCAGCTCAACATAACTATAACTTCCCCCAGTTCACCCAACAATATCAGCCCCAACCCTACCTCCGACCACCCAGATAGTTCACCCCATGCACAACCCCCAACTTTGACCAGAGCAACCCTTATTTCCAATATCCTACAAATCCTACCTTCAACACTACCTTCTCACAACCCGCCTTCACGCTTTATGACGTCTACATCCCAACCGTTCAACAAACCCAAGCCGAAACCTACCCACAACCACCACAACCAACACATTCATTCCAACAATTCTTACTGACAGAGGAGCAACTGATGCAGATGCCGGATTTTAACATCGAAGATATTCTAGATGATGAATCAGGACCCTCTACAAGGCAGACAAACCCCCCGACAACACATCACAATGAAGATTTGTCTTCCGACTCGTCTCAGTCATCTGCAAACGAGCGTTTGGGGAGAGGACACCGACAAAGAAGGGCCCCTAGGTGTGGAACTGGGGGGTCATCTTCGATGATATGTATATTTAAGTAATCAATTTTTTTGTAACTATTAAATCTTGAAATTTTATTCTTGTCAATTATTTGATCAATTAATTAAATACGTTTATTATTAAATTAATTCAACAGATTTTATATGTTTTATATTAAATAGTTTTTTTTTAAAATTAATTAAATATATTTTTTATTAGTTTAATTAAATAGATTTTATATGTTTTATATTAAATAGTTTTTACATGTTAAATAGTAGATTAATTTAATCAAAAATAAAATACTCCTAATTTATTAAAAATTCTACTTTATTAATTTTTATACAAAATTTTTATATGTTTTATATTAAATAATTTTTTCCAAAATTAATTAGATATATTAGAAGTATTTAATATATTTGAAATTAATGTATTTAAAAAGATTAAATATATTTATTTGAAAATCTGAAAAAATTAAAAAAAAAAAAAAAACCTTCACACGTTCGCCCTTTCAATGGGCGAACTCACTCAGGCTGGAATTTTCTACAAGTTCGCCACTTCATTGGACGAACGTCTTCAATGCTTTTCCCTAGTTCATCCTTCTGTTGGATGAACTCTTCCAAAAGTAGGGTATGCGCGTAAATATATTTCAAACTGGGGTGTTTTGGTATTTAGGGTTTCAAACTAGGGTATATAGGTCAAAAACTCTACTCTGGTCTTGATATAATTATTAAATAAAAATAAAATTGTATTATAAGTTAATCTTAAGACATTAAATACAGTTTAATTTTTATTTAACTATATTTAAAATAACACCGGTGAGTAATTGTGATGCTTTAATGTTTAAAACAAATTACATCTTTTTGAAAACTTTATTCCTATACCATCGAGAACAATTCAAATTGTCATTGTCATATAAATATGATTATGGATCACATTAAAATATGATTGATGACACATTACTAACTTTGCTCACTTGAACGTTAGAATATCAATATTGCATGTACACACATTCTTTGACCATTAGAGACATCCATCAATATGCTTAAATCTTTTACGGTGAACTTTTTCGACCTACTACCTATTTTCTATTATACGTTGTGTTCTGAACTAGACCGAGACCTGCCCCTCAATCGAGCAGGCTCAACCCAATACTACGTTGATGAAGCCCAACAAGGCTCAATCCTCCTCTATCGGGTATGCGCCTCAACAAGGCATCTCTGTCGGGCACGCACTTCCCTCACGGACTCTGCGTGCCCCCCACGCGAGGACACATCATCAGGCAATTACCCACTTCCGAAAGAACTGGTCAGCCTACCTTCCGAAGATCACGAGGTAGTTGATCCAGGACGAAGACCATGTGCTGGTCTTTTCTAAACCATGTAAGCCCTGACAGTTACTCGTGTTGCCCCTTACAATCCAACCCAATGCAAAGTAACTGTTGGCCCAGCGCTTGAGACACATTATAAATACCCTATTTCACTAGAGGGTCATGTATTCTATTCACTGCACCTTTTCTCTGTACTTGCTCTTTCTAAAACCCTATTACTCACTTAAGCATCAGATTACTTTGCAGGTACACCCCCTCCTCCTTTACGACGTCGGTGAATACATGAGCTCACGACGCGTGGCAGACTACTAATTCCTTTCTGATCAAGTGAGATCAGTGGCGCCGTTTGTGGGAACCCTTTGCTCCCCCATTCTTTCTCTTATCCAAGCATAGAAGCTCAAGAACCAAAGCAATTTTCAACTTCCATTCTGATCATGGTCAACCCACGCGACGATAATGCTCCAGAAACCGCCTTCGCCCCCTTCGCCAACGGGGACGACCACGACCCAACGTGGTTGTCCGTAACGACGAGGGCGACTACAAGGACGGGCGCACTGCCTCTCCCTCCTCGAAAGACGCGACCTTCAATACCGCCCAGCGTTTCGACAGCCCGGCTGTCTACTAACCCATCTCAGTGCCAGCAGGCACCGACCCTACCATGGTGGCTCTGTTCGCGCCGATCAACCAAACCAACCTAATGATCTTCCAACAGAACGAGCGAATAGGGATGCTCGAGAGGGAGCGACCATCAAGCTCTCCCCCGCGGAGATATCGCCGCCTAATTTCCAGCAGCCCCTCTCCTCCCCCGCGGAGAACGCGACACGTCGACGATTCTCGGAGCCCTTCTCCCCGACTGACTGGGTGTCGCCCTCGTTTAGAGCCACCATATCCAATGGCTTTCCAGAAGCGCGACCGGTCACCTCCCCGGAAGGAATGACGCTCCCTAGCTCAGAAGAAAAACAAAGCCGAAGGAGGCGTTACCAAGCCAAGAGCCCGGCCAAGGAGTCCTCCCTGACGAAACAGAAACAACCAAAGACATGTCTCCCCCTCACTGTCACCTGTCAGGAGAGACGAAGACATCCAACACTCACCATTATGTAGGGCCATCAGAGAGGCCCCATTGCCCATCATGATGGAGAAACCCCCGCCTTAGGCAACATACGATGGCATGAACGACCCAGACGACCACATGGAAATCATCGACGCGATGCTCGATTATCAGAACATGCGGGGAGCCATCAAGTGCAGGTTTTTCCCCCATTACCCTGAGAAAAGGTGTCATGGTGTGGTACAAACGCCTCGCGCTCGAATCCATCACCTCCTGTGGCGAACTAAAGAGGCACTTCACAGCTTCTCGGCGCCATCCGAAGATAGAGGCAGCCCTGGAAGCCATCATCTAGGGGAAGAACGAACCTCTCCGAGATTACATAGAGAGGTTCAACCGAGAAGTCGTCCAGGTGTTCACCATGGATGATATGAAGAAACTCCTGATCTAGAGAGGCATACGAACCCACTCCGACTTCGCCAAAGCTGTCGGGATCGAATGCCCCCACACCTTGAACGCTCTTCTCCTTAAGGCCTAATCATACATCTAGTATGAGGAGATAGAGGCTTCCAACATCGCCAGTGACACACGAAATCAGGAAGGCCATAGGGGCGCCGGGAATGAGGAGGTCGCTCCTCCTCGACGAAGTCGGGAAAGAAGAAGAGAAGACCAACCCCGCAAGTAGATGGGACCAGCGGGTCGGTTCACTGAGTACACGCCGCTCACAGCTCCCCGTGAGCACATCCTGTTTGAATGTATCAATTCAAAATTTCAGAGGGGCGGTGTCTATTTCCCGAAACCGACGCCCCCGAAGCCCATCATGGAAAAATCCAAATACTGCTTGTTCCATCAGAGTCATTGACACGTCACGGAGAATCGCATCCACCTCAAGGATGAAATCGAGATCTTAACTAAGGAAGGGCACCTAAAATGGTACACCCGGAGAGGTGAGGCTCCCTGACCTGAGACCCGTGAAGCCAAGGGGGTCGAGGAAGTGTCACCACCCTCCGGATAAGCTGGACTACAAGTCACCATGTGTGTCTCCCAGCCAGAGGATTTCCTCCTTCACAACAAGCCCTCTAGACCGCTGTCTGTCCATAGTCTATGGGAGGATTTCCCCGCCACCTTGGTCATATTCGGCGGGAGCAAGCTATCGGTCGGGTCGGTCAAGAGGAAGTTCGAAGAACTGATCGACAAGAGCTCGAAGACAAATGCTACCCTCGATAAGTTCAAAGGTCAATCAAACTTGATTACCTTTTACCTCGAGGAGCTTTCCAGGGGTGCACCAAACTCCAACATTCCCCTCTTGATCAGAGCTCAGATGGCGAACTTTAACGTGCGCCGAATCCTAGTCGACCAAGGGAGTTCGGTGGATATAATGTACGCCAATCTGTTTAAAACCCTCCAGCTCGACGAGAGCCACCAAACCCTATATGTCAGCTCTAACTTGTAGGCCTTCAACGGTACCACCACCAAGCCTTGAGGATATGTGGAGCTGCTCGTCACATTCGGGGTCGAGGAGACAGCCATACAGGTAAAGGTTCGTTTCTTGGTGATCGAGTGCCCCTCCCAGTACCAGTGCATCCTGGGAAGGTCGGCCTTGGCTGAACTGACCGTGGTACCATCTACAGTCCACTGAAGATGAAGTACTACACGACCAGAGGTCGAGTCGTCACCCTCCATGGGGACATTGAGGCGGCCAGGAGATACTTTGAGGCGGCACTCAAAGGTCTCAACTTAATCAACGCCCCCCCCCCCAAGTCGACCGACAGACCAACCCGGGATGAGGAGCAGAAGCCACTTCCTCACGTCAACTTCATCGACCCCGACAGCCATTTCCCCAGCAAGCAAGAGCAGAGCGTGGAATCTGAAGACGCGCCTCCAACAAACAACGG